TTCATCTTGCAGCTCTAGAAGGTTCTACCATGACAGCATTTCTGTGACCCTTGAATTATCAGTCTTCAAAAGCAAAGGGACATAATATTTTTGTGAAAATTTCAATAATTTTTTAGGACACTACTTTTTTTTTTTACCAAGAGGTATGCTTATATCATAACTCTAATAATCTGCTTTTTAATTTAAAAACTCATTTTCAAGACTTCTTCCAGTCTTACAGATAAGGAGATTGTTTTGCCTTTCAAAATCTTGGAACTGTTTCCCACCCTTACATCTTGAAATCCAGAAAGAAGATAATACCTGAACAAAACACTGAAAGCTTTAACAGTTTGGAAATTTCTTCCCTGGGTAACCAAATTATTCAGACTAACTCTCTCTTCCAAATATATTTAAAATTCACAGCTCATCAAAAATAATGTTATTTGAAAACTCACAAAAGTAACAGGTCCACCTGACAGGCATCACACTGTTCTTCCAAATTATCTATTTCATGTTCAAAACAAGAATATTGTGTAGATGTGCCATATGTCAAGTCCTCTGCTGTTATGGATGATAAAGAATTTGGTCAAGATGTTTAGTATTAACATACTCTGCTGATGCCATAACAAGTTTTATTTGTGAAAATTTTGATTGTTATGTTACCAGTGAAGTCATTTGTAGGAATCAGATTGAGGGCATCAGCTATAATGAAACTGGCAAATCATGGATAGTGGTAATGACTTTTGTCAGCTGGGTAACTCTGACAGGAAAAATGTTTATCTTCAGGCCACCTCCAGAAAAACATCAGTCTCACCTACCAGCTTGTTCTAAGGAAAAGTTTGAAAATCCCACAAAAAAGGCCAAAAGAAAAGGGATATTTTATATGTGCAACTCTTCACATTATTACCATCTTCATTTATTTGATATTGCTGCATTAATTCTAAATGGTCAAAATAATTTCAGCCCAGCCATGAAAATGCATATGATATGATGAGCCTTTTTTTGCAGTATCAATCACAGTTCCTACTGCACTTGCTGCTCCCTGAGTTGCCTTTCCCTTTTCAGATACCCACATGGAGCTCTAATAGAAGCCAGATACATTGCTGTGTATTCAAAAGATTCTTAGCCTACATCTCAGATGATCCACACCCTCAGACTCCCATTCTCTCTCCCCAGTATTACTTTTCACATCAACTTTAAGGAGCAAATACATAAAACAAAGACTCAGTGGGAAATGTTTCCTTTTATTCATACAAAGGAAGAATGCTTTAGACTTTCTCCCAAAATTCAATACACTTGAAGTCTCAGTCTTGTGTAACTGATTTCTACAGCTGTGTCAGGTTGCAAATTCCAGTATCTTGGGATCTGTAAGGACTAGAAAAATGAATGGACAGCACTGTGTCAGGGAGCTCTGTTGCTATTTGCTACTCACAGCCCAGGAGACCTGAAGATTAGAGGTCATATGTCAACTTAAGTAAGATGGAATCATTCTAAGGTGGAATTTTGGCACAGCCGTGGTAATGAACACACCTGTTCTTTTGAGGACAGACACTGTAAAATCAATCCCAGCTACAAAATGAATGAAAGTTACTTGGTTATACTGTATTTTTTTAACTTCTTTCCAAGTTAGGAGTACCTAAGATCCCATTTTCTACTTACCTATTTTTGCAAAAGAGGCAAGGAGGATCCAAAGGGTAACTTCATAGGGAATTTGCACATAGTCATAGTCCAGTGTGAAAACATGTAGCCTCGTGTCTTGAGAGGAGTCAACAGCATCACTGGAATCGTGTTCATAGTGAAGCAAGGACCTCTTGCCCAGGCTGGGCTCACCCCCATAAGCAGCAGCAGAACAGGAAACCACGCTCAACAGCAGCAGCATGTTGGAAAACTTTGCATGTGCAAGCTTGGCAGAGCCCATGTCTGGGGCTGTGACAATTTTATTACAGACTTAGCATATAGTGGGTGCATGAAGGTGCGCACAATCACTTCTGCTGATTCGCACTGCCCACAGCCACTTCTTCCTCAGGGCTCTTTCACTTGCCTGTTAGAGGTCATTTTATAGTCCTTGTGTGCCTGTCCTGTTCCTTGTGCTGCAGACAAACCTGGAGTTTGGATGAAGATACCGGTTGTGCAGGTTCCACTGACCCAGAAAAACCTCGGCCACAGCATTACCCTGTTGAGGAACAAAAGGGCTTTTCCATCTTCATAAGTTATGCAGCCTCTCTGATTTTTCCAGTCAAAAAAAAAAAAAAAAAAATCAAACAAAAAAATGACCAATGCTCACCATTCAGGCAGCAGGCACGGCACGAGGGAATTGCGTTGGTTGGGAGAGGTGGTGGCAGCCTGGGCAGGCAGGACAGCCAGCTTCGTGCCTTCCTCTCTCACCCTCGCTCCCCATCTGCCTCCCCAGCGCAAGTGGCACCCCGGGCACCACACTTGGCACGACTCCCTGGTCCTGTCACACCTGGTAACAAAACTACCCAGTGTGTAAATAAAGGGGCTGTGCAGGGCTCCCGGGAAGGACATCTGGTGGGAGACAGCGCAAATTACAGCCTGGCTTGGAAAGGGGCTCCCTCCCTTAAACACGTGCATGTAATTAGCAGGTAATAGCAACCTAAAGAGGAAGGGCTGAGTCACACCACCTGCCTGAAATTGGGTCTTGGGTTGTCTTGTGTTTGGCATTTGTTTTACTGACACCAGTAAGGCACTTACTGGGCAAATACGTTATCCTCCTCCAACTGCTCTTATGGTTAATTTTTTTTAAATGCTGGCATATTTTCTCTTCCACAAAACCAACCATGTTTACTATAAAGATAAGAGGGTGTGCAGAAATAGTGCTGTTAGTTAGAAGCTTCTAAAACCTGTATTACTTATCTTAGAACTGAGTGCATTTAATTTACTAACAAATTATTCAAATTCATCAATTATTTGATTGTGTTAGAAGACAGTGCAGATAGGGCAGATGGTGAGAACAGATGTGATACCCCAAAACAAAGCTAATTCTGAGGGCTCTGAAACCACACTGCATGTTCTTGGGAGGGGATTCCTTCAAAGCAACTGGCCTCACAGACTGAATGTCCCTTCACGGGTGGAGAATACCTTCTACTTGACTTTCTGTGGAAGGGATCCAGTGTGTGCAGCTGTGATGGTCTGTAATGCAAAGCAAAAGGTGACATGTGGTGACAAGTGGGAAATTTGCATCAAAATGATAATTTTCTGAAACAAATCTCCAATACAGGTGCAACTGCAATGTCAAAATTCTCTGTGGTACAGTGTTAGAATCCTAGTTACTGAGAATTTTAGACATTCTGTACTGACAGGCACTGACTCCCAAAAGAACACTACATTTAACCTGAAGCTGTAGAGAAAGCTTTAATTCCAAAATTAAATGACAGAACTAAAATTATAAGTGTGTAATTTGAATAGAAGTGTGTAATTTGAATATCACCTAATAGAAAACTTGGAGTTTAAAGCTTTATAATATAATAATATATATAAGACAAAATAAAAGTTTTAGAGCAGAAACTAATCCTTCTTCACCTTCTTCTTCATGAGTTTGGGTGGTATTGTGCAATTAAATTAAAAAGTCCACATTATGAGCCACAAGTAGTTAATTATTAAGTTAAAAGTAAAAATAATTTAAGTATAATTTCTTAATTAGACAGTTTATTCTTAAGAAACCTTGTCAAGTGAGAGATACGGCTCTATTTTTTAGTTTGTTACAGCACTATAAAACTCATAGTTTATGAGACTGTAATATAAATAAAAGCTAATAAACATCTGAATCCAGACAAAAAGTATCATCTCACACATTTAATCCCAGCCTTAACAAGAAAGAAGTTAAAACTCCACAGTACAGTCAGAGATGTCCTTTGATGTTCTACTTCTCCATGAAGTACTATCTTCTGTCAGCCTCACAGCACCATCAGTCCTCCCACAAAAACTTTGAACCCAACATAGCGTTAGGTAGATAATGCTCAGCCTCCTTGCAAAAGAGATCTTTTTTCCAGTATACTGATCCTGTTAACAGTAGTATTTCTTGGAATCCCTTTCCAACAAGGAATCTGGCAGATGAGATGTTCAATTAGCATTATGAAACAAGGATTTGTTAACTTGAAGGCCAAATGAAGTGAGCAGAACAACAGAGAAGAGGCCATACCACTGAGATTGTTTAACACTGACCATTGAATTTCACTCAGCTACAGACATACACACAGACTGCAAGATGGTTTGAGAATAAGTGGTATGAGCTCTGGAGAGTTGGCAGCCAGAGGACTGCAAGGGAAAGATTTAGAGACCCTGGAAGTCTACTAGTTGTGACAATCAGGGCTTTGATTTACTCCTGCAACTCGCCCATAGTGCCTACATGTTCAGTGGGTGTTGAATGACCAGCATCAGACAGGATCAACAATGATCAGGTACAGGTGTCCCTGAGTGTGAACTGTTTTACAACTGGTTGAATTCTTCCTCTCATTGAAGGAAGGATGGAGATACCTGGGGTAAACCTACACAGTGGTCCTTCTTTTCTGAATCCCTTTGGCATACCCAGCTGTAACAGTCTCTCATGGTATTTTCTTGGTGTTCCCACTGAAGGAGGTAACTCACTTGAGGAATATGGGTATGTTCCACTGGACTGCATCAGGAAATTAAACTGCAAGCCCCCTCTGGAGTTCCCTTTTTAAAATCTTTTTCTACAAAATAAGCGTTAAAGTATTCCAGAAAGGAATGCAATGCAAAGAACATTCTATGTCTCAAAATCAGAGCAAAATGATATAATAAATAGTAAAAAATAGTATAATTAAAATGGTAATAAAATATTAATTTATGAAAGACAGTTTACATTTACAGTTGTGTGCAGGGGCACAGTTTTGTTGTGCACTGTCACACTTCAGTCCTTCTGACTGTTTCAGAGCGAGCTGTTGCTGGCTGTAGTGACAGCTGACAGCTGTCAGACAATACCAAAGAGGTATTTGACAATCATGTTACCATTCCTGAGCCTGATGTCATCCCCTTGTGAAATTTCTCCTATCTATACCAGTCTGAATAACCTCTGGGAGAAGCCCTTGAGGCTGAAATTTTCCAGCCTCTTAGTAGTTTTCATTGGCATGTGGTAACGCATGTATTTCCAGAACTTCTTGTGTGGAGCAGCAGAAATGGAAGACTTCCAGGTAACAATTGGTAAAATCCGAAGTGCTTTCTTCACTACTGGAGGCAAAGTCTCTGGCTCCTGGAAATCCTGGAACTTTATTAATACCAGTTTGATCCCTTTATCTTCCAATGCACAGTTCACCGCTGCCTGCAGTTCAAAGATGCTTGGTCCACTGACATAGGCTGGGCTCAAAATGATTATTACCCGTCTGCTGTGTTTAATAGCTGTTACAACTTCATCTGTGTATGCTGGAGAGGAAATGGTGAGAGTTACTGCATTCTGCAAAGGAGTTTCTATCTTATCAGTTCCTTTATCAACAGCTGAAATCCAGAAATAAGGAAAGTCAAGAACAGGAATGCAGAGTAATCATATAACACTTAGAAATGAGTTTGCTATCAGAGGGTACCGTGGCTGTTCTTATACAGCTGAAGAACACAACTTTCTGCTCAGGACATGAAGGGCACAGCTGGGGTCTCAAGGGACACTTGGACCTGTCTTCATCTCTCCCACAGGGCTTTCTAGTTACTGAGGTAGCACTGGCTAAAGTCACTCAGAAAGTAACTACTGAAATATTTGAAGTCTTCTTTCCAGGGAAAGGAGTCTGCTTGCAAAGAAATTCTTGCACAAGAAGCTTTGTCTCAGCCTAGTAGCTCACAGTGACCTCACTCCATAGCATGTGTGTGTCAGGAGCAGGGACCAAACACAAAGATCAAAACATTGTGAGATTTGAACAAAAATTCCATTACCTAATTATACAATTTGTTGCTCTGGTGCATAAAGGGTTTTTTGTTTTGTTTTGTTTTTTTTTAAGTGAATCAAAATTTTATAAAACCTGAAGATTTTCTACCATGCCCAGGGAACTTACCTCCTCCCGGAAGAATATCTCTTTCAAGAATACATAACTTGTATCCATATTTATTTTCTAGCATATCTGGAAGAAGCTCCAGGGCAAATTTTTCCTCGCTAATTAAAGCAGAGTCACTTTCAGAAGGGTTTAGTTTTGCATAGGATACGAACGCGTCAAATTCCTTGCCATCTAAAATAAAGGAATAAATAAATAATAAATTAATTACTATATACTTTAAGAAGTCTGGCTGAAGCATGCAGCTTCTTTCTTAATGCCCTGTTTCCATTTATGTCTGTTTAAATAGTCACAACACAAACATAAAATTATGATGTGTTCATGGATTACAGCTATCCAGTCACCAAACACAATCTTGCTGTCTCACTGTCTTGCAAATTTTGTAGGCATATGCTACCAAAGCAAACAAGCGAGCTAGAGATGTTTAGTGCAAGGTAGTTTAAAGATTTGGTCCTTTCCAGGCAAAAGTCATGTGGTAGGGAATGATTCCCAGTCTTTTCTCTCATTTGCCCAAACGCTGATTAAAGAAAACTTGTCAATGGCCAATCTTATTTTAAAATATAATAAAGCTTAAAGGAATAATGTTCTTGAATATTAGTTGCTTGCAAAAGATATGCTGTTTTCATACACTGTTATGTCTGTCAACATAGAGACTTGTGTCTCTCTGTTAAAGAGCAAAGGCTAAGCCTGATCAAAATATCAGCTCAGACACAAAGTACTGACCAGTTATTGAACTTTAAGTTTTCTTAAAAGAACTTTTGTACAGTACAGATGAAACATAGGTAAAGAATTTTTCTTAGCTTTGATCACCCTGATACCAATCACCTGAGTTAGGTGCATTCTTAACTACGAGGCAAAAGCAAATTATTTCTGCTGAATAAACTTTGAACTACACTTGGGGGAGAAGAAACGTAAAATGAAATAATTTCTGGTGAAAGCAAAAGGCACAGCGGACCCGGTCCAGCTTCCCAGTTACTTGAGGTCATTTAAGTTATCCTAAGACTGCCAGATTTGACAGAAGTATTGGAGACTCAAGCATTTTGGAATGGCAGGACATGGTCAGGCAGCCCAAATACCATCAGACACCTATGTGCAATTATCTGAATTGTGTCATGTGACAATATAATTAATAGGAATCAGGAATAAATTCCTCTGTGTAGAGCAGGGTGCTGCTGCAGGGTGAGCTGAGAGGCTCTCTGGATTCCATCATACTGACTGCACCTTCACCTTCACTGCTTGGGAACTGAGACACCCACATCCAGCACAGAGACCTAAGTGCTGAGTGTCATGACCCCCACGCCGTGGTGTTAACCTCCTGATTTCTACCCCTAGATGTGAGACCACATATAGGACCACAGGACCACATATAGGACCACAGACACAGGCTAGAGTCACCAAGTTCCTATAGGGTCTAGAAGAGTCTGTATGTAAAGCAAATTCAGAAAACTAACATAGATGAGCTGGGGCTGAACACTTAAATTCAGAACCAGCACATAGCAGAACGTGTGTTATCAAAAGAAAACAGAGGTGTGCAGATTAGATCTAGAGGCCAAGATCAGACAACAAATGTTGCACCTCTGCTCCTCCTCTCTGCTCCTGGACACACTTTCAATCACATCCTTCTCCTGGTGATAATTCTTGTGATAAGCTCTTGTGATAATAGGGGAAGATGATTCACGTTGCTGGCTACACACTGTCTTTTACTGAGTTATCTTTCTGCCAAGCTGAGCCAATTTGGGCCCACAAGAGTGCATCACCAGCAGTCAGCACACAGGACTAATGTGGGAATTAAAGGTGGGCCAGAGGTTCACTAGATTGGTTTAGCTGAACTTCAATTCATTTATACCCTAAATTGAAGCTCCCTTGAAAACAGATTTTAAACCCAATACAAGCCAGGTATTCCTCATTTCACCCACAGAGGTCACTACAATCTTATTAGACCACAACCACTAACAAACACATGCCTTTATAATATTACTATTACAATAGCAAGTTAAAAATAAATACAAAATAAGCACCATTAGGCCATTTTTTTCACATAATTGTACAGGAAAATTACAAGCTGAGGAACTTTTGGTACTGCATTTAGATGCTGAAAGTGTAAGAAATTAAGAATACCTGACTTAAGCAAAGTGATGACATACATGTTCTATAAATGTTAGTATCAAATCTCCTGCATTATTTCTTTCTACATATGGAAGAAGGCAGGAGTTTTAAGAGATATATCTGAATTGATTAGGAGGCAAATTAACCCCAGAGGGATTGTGGTTTCTCTCTCCACAAGGTCCTGCACAACCTAGGTTGGCTCTGCTTTGAGCAGGTGCCCAGGGTACCTTCCAATCTTGTAGGATTCTTCAATTGTCTGATTCTGTGCTGAGAAGGACACGAGAGAAGAAAGTATAGAAAGGAGGAAACAGCAGAATCGAGTCATAACTGCTGCTTTGCTGCTTCATGAGCAAGTCCTTTCAGACCTCAGGTGACTTGGTATGCATCCATGAAGTGAGGACATAGTCCTGCAGGTGAGAACACGTTTCCCTTGGGCAGAAAACTCTCTGAGTATGCACGGTTGGTCTGCACACCCCCTGTACCCCCATGCTGCAAGTGGAGCTGTGTGCATGAGGTACCTGAGAAGCAGGGGACAGGCAGGGGACAGGAGTGGAACCCCGATGGTGTCTTCAACTTCAGTGCACAGCCTTGGCAGGTCTGTGTGTGTCCTGCTGACTTGCAGGGTGTGCTCTAAAGGGACTTTCCACAGCTCCTTAAATCACTTTGTTACCAGATAGAAGGGAAATTTTGAGTGATTTCCCAAACTGCTTTTGCCAAATGCTTTAGTGCTTGTAAAAAGTTTTCCAGAAGGGCAGTTAATTTTCCAATTGTGCATGTACTTAGAGGTATCTAGATACAGTTGTTTCACACTCACACATAAGATACATTTACAAACACAAAAACAACTCAGACACCCCTATCTCAAACTGCATCAAGATGCAAGAATTTTTAGAAAAATTTTCTCAGGCACAAACTATCAGAATTCTTTCAACACATTTAAGAAAATCATACCTTAAGTTCTTTGAAGTAGTTAGAGTGATTCCTGATACATTTTTACTCTGTCTACTATTTCAGGGGCCTGTTTTAGCTGAGGTGGTGGGGCAATGCTACTACAGAGACTTGAAAAATCAAAAGCTCATCACTCAGGTCCAAATGTCAAGTAATTTCCAAAGATTTTAGAAAGGAAATATGAATATTTCCCAAACATTCATTTGCCAACTGGTGCCCTTGATCATCTTATTTCTCTCTTTTGTTTATTCTTCTGAGAAACCTTTTGGCTTCAAGTGAAAGATACAATAGACCCTGGAGGTCATTTCATTCTTGTCCAAAGGTTTTGTTGAACATTTTCAGAGAATGACTTTGAAATGTTGGAGATGCTAAGTTATTCCCTGCAAATGGACTGCCAAAATTCACTTTCCTGCTCTAATCTTCTATGGGTAAATTAGGGTAAAAGTCTAACTGACATTTCTGTTGGTGTTAGATATTTCTTTCATGCTATATGACTTTTTTGCCATCTGCATTCACTGAGCATCTTGCAAGGTTTTGTAGAATTGTATTGGCTCAAAGAGAACAGGGTCATTAAAAGAACTTAATTAAAGGAGTAATTCATATCAGATTATCCCACATGGCAAAAGGCAGAAGAAAAACTGGAGCAAATTCATATAAGACAAGGTTTCTTACCTTCTGTGCTTTTGTTGTGGACCAGACAACTTCGATACGTCAGCACTATTTCAATCCAGTGCTGGTAAATAAAGGCAGTGCACAAAACAAATGCAAATATAGTAGAAATGGCACTGCATAGTACATATAAGAACAACACTGCAGAAAGAAAAGAGTCTATCATAACTTGAGTTTCCAAAATAGTATTGACACTTAGATTAAAAATCAGTCCAGGAATGGGGACAAGCCATCTTACAAAATCTTTTTCCTTATCCCCCTGGCAAAATTTAGAGAAGCTAAGATTTCATGTAGCCACAAACCTTAACATAGAATTTCAGTCTACCATCAGTGACTTTTTTTGCATGACATCTCTCTGGTGATATGAAAAGCCAATCTATGACAGAGTGCACAGAGAAAATAGTCTCTGGTACACTCAGCAATGCTGAAAATAGCCATCACCTGAGATGGAAAAGCTACATCAGAACAGACACAGCTGCACACAGTGCCCTTCTGGCAGCTTCCTGTTGCACTCCAGTGATGAACCTCCACTGTGAACTATGGTTTAACACTTTAATTTCCACACTGATTCAGGTTTGGTACTTGAAAAGCTGCCACAATCATATCCGTTATGGTAACTTCTCAATAACATGCCTGCTAATTACTGGAAAATAAACAGAAATATCCTATGAAAATCTGGGAATACTGTTGCTTTCAACAGCCTCTCTGCTTCAATTTAGTAGATTGCCTATTAATGCTCAGAGGTTACACTCTCCTCTTCTTCCTTCCAGTTACTCTCTAACTTCCACTTGGCTCACCTGCCTGCAGTAAATCCCCAGATAGCCCTGTTCTTCTGAGTAATCCTCAAAATACTTGGCTTTCAAGACATCTGACAAATCAGACTTTTCCCACTCAGGTTCAAGAAACTTCTGCTGCTGGCTGAAAGCCAGTGTCAATGGGGAATTAATTAGTAGCAATGGAGTAAATCAAAATGTGTCTTCAGGGGTAAATAGTCACCAGTTGATAGCTTTACCTCTCTTCTTTCTTTTCAGCTGGATCACAGCAGTGGCATTCCCCACTGAATTCTCAGCAAAGCATGTGAAGCTGCTTCTGAGGTCCTTTTCAGTAACTTCCTTCAAAGTTGCAACGTGAAGAAGTGTGTGCCCCTTCAAACCCTTTGGATAGACACTAGAGAGAAAAAAAATGTGTACTTGCATGATCACCTTTGCTGTTCATTCACACAATTTCCCAATGTCTTACACTCAAAAACAGAGGAGCTTGCAACTTCTTAACATTCATCTTGAACTTTTCATAGTAATGCAATATTCTGGTTTGGAACCTTCACTTGGTCTATACATGGTAAGAAAATACTAACATTGTAAGAAAATACCTTGATAAGCCTGAAGACTGAAAGGTTTATCCTTAATTCATCTACTCAGCAAAATACTTATCACTTCCCTAGTTTTCAACATACAGTCCCCTTTACTTGTACAAGATTACTTGTGGTTTTTTAAGATGTAAAATATTCACCTGTCAGAAATGCAGAGAAATGAAGCTTCAAAAAGGAACCCCAAGAGAGAACTAGCTGGGCAAAAGATTGAGCAGCTCAGTCTCTTGCACAGGAGCAAAAAGCTCAAGGACATGATAGGCAAACAGAATAAGACAGAAATAAGGGACAGAAGTATAGGAAATGAAAAGGTAACTGAGGAATCCCTTCAGGGTTGAGTGAAGGATATGGGAAGCAGATCTGTATCTGCAATCATTCCAGAATACCCAGGGTTTCTGAGTTTCAGCATTCTCCTTTGAAAGCCACAAGTATAAGCATCTCTGGGTCATCCCAAAAGTCATCTCACATCATACCACTGCAAGATGACAGTGTCCCGTGGCTCCACCCCTGCTACATCAAGATATGTAGGAGTGAGCATAGGCAAGGATTCAACCAAAGTCTGTTGGGGATGTTTGTATTTTAAAAAATAAGCAGAAACTCTACCCATGAAAACAGCTAAAAACTTGTTAACAAGAATATTCCAAATCTAAACATTCTAAAGTTAGGAAAATTTCCAGTCTATCTCATGAGTGTGTGTGAGATATCATAATTCTTTTTTTGCCCATATGACTCCTATTATTAATTCAGTTTTAGCAGTGACAGCAGGGATTTTGCTTCCCCAGTGTACAGAAAGTTTACCCAAAAAGTTGACACAGGGCTGAGTGGTGAAAGACAGGCTTGCCTGCATTGCCTCTGCTCTGTTGCTTGCCCAAGTTGAACACTGCGTAAGTGAATGAAAACAGGAAGGAAAGGGAAGCATAGTCACTACAGGGGCTGTCCCCAGGTCACAGGAAACCTTTCCCCCACATGAGTCTTCTCTGCAGGACCTGGTTAATTCTCACCAGGGAGGAGTCCCAAAATTCAGTGTCCTGAAATTTGGGGCTGCAAGCCCTCAGACCTAGTCTGTAACACCGCAATGTCTGAGACACACAAACTCCTTTCAATGTCCGCAGAACTGTTTTGCTGATCTGATTCATTCCCCACTCAGACACCACTTCCAAAGGCAGATTGTGTGAATTGCTAGCAAGGCACAACAGAGACTGTGCTTTCAAGAACACTTGAAAACAAGAACACTTGAAAACAACGGATGCGGGGACAGGCAACCAGGAGCCCTTCATGTTGAAACTGTCTGTGAACTAAAGTTTTTAGAACAGCTAAGATAATGCAGAGCTTGAGTTCTTGATTTTATGGCCATCAATATGTGCTTCTGTGTGTGAAGGTCACATGCCTGTCCCTTGCTTGTGGCATTACTAGGTGAAGGAAAGGAGCCTACTAAAGTTTTGTTCGATAAAACGTATTCAGTAAAGCTGTTATAGAAGGGCTTTTACAACTGTTTGTGGTGGTAGTAACCAGACTGCTGGGGGGGCAGGGGAGGAAGTTCTCACGTTGTTTCCTGATTCAATTTCTCATTTACAATCTCTTCGTTGTTTCGTTTCCATGTTACCCTCATTGGAGAAACTGTTTCAAACCCAAACTGTACACGACATTCCAATTCAAGTGGCTTGCCTGGAACAAAAGAACACAGAAAAACCATGCCTGCAGAATATTATTCTCTTAAATAGCCTAGAAAGCAAAGCTGGTTTGCTTTATCAAGATCTGTCATTATTTATCAATACCTCCTCTAAATATTTTCATTTGCTTCTAGGGGAGGAATTGAAACTTACCAACTTCTGCTTCAAGGATCACAACACCATTAGGATACAAAAGGCTTGGTGGATGAATAGTGTTTTTTGCTGCAATTAACAAGAATATCATTAAGTATAATGTTATTGTCAGTGCAGAAGACAAAAGAAAATGGTTTAAAATTTAATTTTTCAAGTTTTAGGTGGAATTTGGACACCTAAGTCCAAGAGGAGGACAACAAAACTTTTGTAGCTACTCAAAGACCTGCTATCTCATTTACTCTGAGGCATTGTTCTCTTACATGAGCTAAGGAGCTCAGCAACTAGTCTCCCCTTTAAATTATTTAGGTTTAAAAAAATTAGGAGCCCCCCTTGCAAAACCCTCTAAAGGTGCAATCCTCATACCAGTTCCCTGTCAAACCTTTATTCATGCCCAGTATGCACAAACAGCACATGCACACCCCATTCACAAGCGCAGATACTTGTACCAAAATAGCCATGTTGTTTTCTAAACTCAGGCTGCCAAAGGGCACAGATAATGACACCCACGGGTTGTACAATAAAACCCACAGCTCTGATATTCTAGGAAAGTCCCATACTGCAGGAAATGGTGCCACATAGCACCTTTTTGTTCTGTTGTTTGCTGGTTTTTTTACCGGGTCACAGCAGAGAACTATATCACAGAATCACAGAACAAGCTGAGTCGGAAGGGACCCACAGGATCGAGTTCAGCATCCAGCCCGCACAGAACCATCCCCAAGAGTGACACCCTGTGCCTGACAGTGTTGCTCAGACGCTCCTTGAACTCTGTCAGGCTTGGTGCTGTGACCACTGCCCTGGACACCCTATTCCAGTGCCTAACCACCCTCTGGGTGAAAAACATTTTTCTAATATCTGACCCAAACCTCCCCTGACACAACGTCAGGCCATTCCCTCGGGTTCTGTCACTGGTCACCACAGAGAAGGGATCAGTGCTTGTCCCTTCTCTTCCCATCACATGTAAGACCTCCACTGCAAGAGGGTCTCCCCTCAGTCTGCAAGGTTCTAGGGTAGGATGCATATGGTGCCTTTTAAGTGGTTTTCTGACTGCTCTAGAAAAGTGAGGGAAAATAACTAAGAACAATGTGTTAGCTTAAATACTGTTAGATCAGAATAAAAGCAGAGCTAGTCCAAGCCTGCCTGGAGAATGTTGTGGGAATAAAGCCAAAAGGAGGAGTGAAAGAGCAAGAGGTATTTTAAGCAACCACACAGAGCTCTCACAGGTCAGTAAGACATGGTTTCCTGTTCTGATGGGATGGATACATTTTTCCCTTGAACTCTTAGAACCAAATTCTTAAAATACCTGGGGAAAGAAGGATCACCTATTTCAGAAAATATCCTCATGAGACCATGAAGTTTCAAAGGAATGTTTTTTCACTATACCATAGAACCATGTTACCTCACTTGACACATTTCTTTTGCTCTCTAAATCTTGTTCTCCCTTTCACAGAGTGGCCTACCTTCCACCAGGATGCTGAGGAATAGTCCTGTGCTGTTTTCTTACAGAAACAGCTGTACTGCATCCATACAGTTCAGGATATAGAATAGATTTATACTATCCTACAGGACCTACTGCTATTATTATTGGATGTTCTAGCTGGTGACCCACGATGTCCTTAGAATACTTGGAAGAGGATTTGAATGATCCTGTAGCTAATTCAATTTATTGGTTTTTCAGAACAAAAGCTTGAACAAAAAAACAGAAACAAACATAATAAAGAAAACATACTTTTACTTCAGGTATTTTATTCTGGGTTATTAAATTACTCACCAATGACTTCTACTGTTACTGCTGTTCTCACTGTCCACTCGGTAATGTTGTCAGATAGAGTATAATCACACACATAAATTCCAGCATCTTTGTCATAGGTTGGATTCAAGTAGATTTCATTCTGCTTAAGCTTTAGGCTTGGTCTACTTTTCCTGTATTTTATCTGGTGGCCATCCTAATGAAAATAATATGTAAGAATTAAAGTTTGGGTTTTTTTCTTGCTGTTGTTGCTGCTACTGAATTATATTTTTATATATTTGGACAGGATTTTCATGGCAGAAGGGCTAAACCAAAGTGTTTCCACTGAAGCCCAAAAAGGGAGGTATTAGGAGTCTGAGGACATTTTTCAGTTATACTAAAAAATATGTGAATAACCTTGATTTTTAAAAAATTATTTAAAATTTATTGTTGATACAAAAATATGAAATCATGAAGCTGATCTAAATTAAACACCTATTACTAAAGAGCAACAAAAATAATCACTTTTTTGATGGACTAGGTAATTTTTGTTTTGTAAAGAAATCATTTTGAAAGCATTTTCATGTTATTTTATGAGAAGTAAACCATGAATTTGGATGGTCTGAGGTTGAGGACACTGTGACTACTTTCAGAAACATGAAAATGGTCTATTTTTGAAAAGCACTCCTGTTTTTCAGCTTAATATATTCATATTCTACCAAAACCAGCAAGAATTTTCCCTAAATCAAGTTCCTGAAAAAATCCAATAACACAATAACACAAAGTGTGAAGACACTCCTTAACTTCAGTGGGTTTCAGATCAAGATGTAGGTAAAGATAAACCTCATTTAAAATTTCAAAGCAAACACAGAATAACTAGATCATAATTCTACTTGATAGAATAGAATAATGTAAATAATACCAGGCAGGAAAATGCACAATTGCAAATTTTAGCAATTTTCCTTTGCTCATTTATACAGGTTTGGATGCTATATCACCATCCTTACAAACACTAAGTCAGTAGTGGTTCAGTGGAATAGTACTTCATTTAAAACAGGACTCTTGGAAAGAAGAATTTTAAATATTATTCTTAAAATAATTTTGCGGCTAACAAAGCCAGTTTTCTTTCATATATTGGATATTTTCAAAATTTGAAACATCAAAACCAAACTTGAAATGTTGCATTTCAATCATGTCAGTTTTATAAAAAAACTATTTTCATTCTCAATTTCTTCAATTTCATAGCTGAAGAGGAAGCATTTCTTGGCTTCTCTTTCATATCATGTTTTGGGTGTGGCAAATTTCTTCAACACTCTTCCTTAAATACTTGATATATATCAGTCCAAGATTCTACTTTTGTGTTGAATTTCTTTGGCATTGCCTGCCAAAGAAGAGTTCAAGAACTATGGCACATGGACATTAACTAGACCTGAAGCTCCACCTCCACTCAGCGAGACTGACTCTTACCTTGTACCATTTCACATCTGGCTTTTTTATGTGGCTGTAACATTTTGTCCCAGGACAGGTTATTGAATTCCCACGGCCAGCAAGCAGATATAGAATATTTGTGTCATAACCTGAACATTTTGCTGCCTTCTTTGTTTGAACATCCAAAACAATTTTGAGGCATGGGATTTTTCCCCTGAGTGATGTAAAAAAAAAAAAAAAAAAAAAAAAAGATGTTAAACATTTAATACATAAACCAAACCAAAACAATAATTCTCCTACAGAAATTGAAACCTTTTACCCCTTTACTCCATTACTTTTTTGCTCCATTACTTACCATATCCTGCAGATGTACACTCCAGAAGCGCTGTCCCTTATCGGTTTAAACCAAAGTGCATCCCCTTGGAAAGTCAGATTTGAGCTTTCCTCGATAGACTTCAGTGTCTCTTTATCTTTCTGATGCCAGAACCATTTCACCCTATGTTGATTTAGAGGTGAGTTGTTATAAATGTTGGTGGCATCTCTATCTGGTAAAGCACATTGTAGAACAAACTCCTCACCATTAATTGCACGATACCATATGTGAGGTTCAACATGGGAACATCCTGAAAAGCAGGACAGTAAGATATCAGCACCATCTGAAAAAATGCAGAGTTGTGGTGAAAAAATTAAAAATAAAAATTAGGAACAAAAATAGAACCTTACCTTTCTTGTGTTGAATATTTCTTTATGTGATCAGAACATGGACTAATAAAAATAGGTTTCCTTAAATATGTAATTTGCCAATGTTCTTGAAAATTTATTCAAAGGTTTCCAAAGGTTCCTTAGGACTTTTTTCAGAAGCTTAATGTGAAGAGTTTTTGTGATGTGTAGACTTTTGCATGCGTGCTAACCTGTTAAACCTCAAATGTGTAGGAAAGCAGATGCAGCTCTTCTCAATCTCGCTGTATTAATGAATAAAGGGACTGACATAAGCCCAAGAAAGCAGAACCTGCCCACCACATGCCCTATTTAAGGTAAGACTGACAAACATTATTGTCTCACTGATATTTATCAATATTTATCCTCCTGTGTTTCAGTAACTATCTCTAAAATTACACAATTGTTTTAATTCTGAAAGATGTGGTTAGCCATCCTAATGCTCATCCTGCCAGTCAGGCTGTTGTGACCTTTGAAAGTATGGCAGGATTTCACCCCACAGAAGGGAGGTAATGAAATCTGTTCCTCACCTGCCCACCTGGGAAACTCTTTACAGTTCCATTTTCTCTCTGCGCACTAAACTGGATCAAGCTCCTCCAGATATATTTTGTGTGTGGAAGGCTCTGATAAATCAATCTCTTTCTGCATTTGCCTTCCTTCTCCCCAGTCCCTGCCTCACTAGACCAGATGCTGGAGACCTAAGTCACAGAAGCAATTCATTTGCTTCATTTAGGCCTCAGAGACTCTCCTTTACATTTATCCTTTTAATTGGGGAACTGATTTTTGAGTCAAATTTAGAGTAGCTTCTATTACCAATACTTCAGAAGCTTGCAGAAAGACTATTTGTCTGACACAAGCATGGACATGTGCAGGAAAAACTCATAAAGGCAAGGAAAAATGAAAATCTCCTTTTCTAAGTTTTCAGAAAGCACCACAAACACCAAACATCACTGGAGCAGATTCTTACCTGGCAAGTTAATCTCTGTAACTTCTACCCCACTGACAAATAGTGTTAGTATCCAGCACAAAGTGAGCATTATTTTCTTTATCAATTTTGGCTGATATTCAGAGACATTTTCTTTAATAATCATCTTGCTTTCTGTAAAAGAGGAAAACAGGGAGGTTTTTTGTAAATCAGAGTCAAATAAAATAGGTAACAACATATTTCATTGTGTACCTCTGTAAAGCTTTGCAAACACTATTTCCTGCATATTGTGTTTTTTAAAAATGGGGTTTGCAGCACTTTTCCTGCTCACGCTATTTCACAGAAATACAGGATGGATAATACTCAGGAATATTCAACAGCCTCTCTAAATACACCTTGCATAGAATTGCTTACAGATGGATTTCCAAGTCATACCTCCAAAAATGCAGAACTCCACCTCTGGAGTGGAAATACTTCATCCTTTGATAGGAGATGTTCTCTAAGATGAGAGGTAGGATACCAAATATCATCAGCCTTCAGCTAATGATGCCTATCAGCGACAGACTGAGACAGGCATAAATGGCACCAAAAATCCATGGAGCATTGTTGTAGCTTGAAAGTCAACAGGCCCAGACTGGATTCCTTTGGGATTAAACCAAATCTGAAGATGTGCTGCAGCTGCAAACAGCATTGAGCCCATGTGACTGGAGGACCCTGCAGAAGTAAAGCCCTCAAAGCATGTCCCGTATGGGCACACGTCTTTGGTTCTCTCTTCCACCCAAGAGACGTGCTCCTAGTGGGCTTTGGTATCAGCCAAAATTGGCATACTTAGGATGTCTACTAGGCCAGCAGAGCAACCTAAAACCCCTTCTCCTCCACTGTGGTGTACCTGGGTGTGCAGCATCGGGCCTCACTTTTGCACTACAGTGCTGTGCTGCACTGCTTGAACAGCTGTGGCAGAGCCCTGCTGAGAAGGGTAGCACCCACACCAGCATGAAGGACCAGCTCTGTGGGCTGCCCTCTGTAAACTGAGACTAGGAACACCCAGGGGACTTGGAGAAAGTCCACAAAGCACTCAGATGCATCCAGACACCCATAATGACAGTACAGAAACCGCAAACCATATTGTTTTCTACTAAGTCTGATCTTCATCCCATAGCCTTCTCAGCCACACTGAATACACCCAGTGTGCATATGCAACAGCCATGGCTCAAGCTGGGTATTTAGTAAGGATGTACCCAACACCTATGACTGACATGTCTGCAGTGTCTGCTCCAGGAGTAAAGGGGCAGTGCCTGGTTCAGGAGCAAAGTACTTGCTGCTGTTCAATTTGCACAGCTGTGCATTGTGCAACAGAGTCCTCAAGGGGTTTTTTCCTTTCCTTTGGCCACAGAGTGACTCTGCATTTGCAATGCTGTCAGAGAGGCACTGAGTCAGCCCAAGGGCAAAGCAGAGAGGTTGGGCAAAGGCTAGTCCCTTGTCTGTTGGCACCCCATGCAAATCAGACACTACTCATACTGGTTAGCATCAACAGAACCTCCAGTGCACGCTGAGCTAGAGAGAGAGCTGATGAGAGCTCCCACGCTGCACTTTTCCGGGTAGCTGTTTTGTGTAGAGGGGAGAACTTTTAGTCACCATTCTCCTCAGAGTGTCTCTATTCCCTGCAAGTGAATGGAATGATCTAATTTTTATGCTCAGAGGCCACAGGAAGTAAGTTAACTCATTTGTTCTGACCCCATCCTGGTGCTTTGTTACAGGCTGGCTGCTAACTGTCATCACCCCAGATATTTTTTTTAATCATCCTGAAACTCCAAGTCTCTATGTGTTTCTCAATAAAGTAAGTTTGCTACCAGCACTGGGAAAAAGCCCTCCATAAGTTTATCCAACTTCTTTATCTGCTGTAAAAGGATCAGTGGATCCTGACTCTTGAATCTGGGTTTATGACGCTTGTGAAGACCTTGCTCAAGGCATTCTGAGGCTGCATCTCTAGCCATGTTAATTCTGTAAAAAGCCAAGAATGGTGTTTTGAGTTATGTCATCCAACAGCCCACATGGCAAAGGCATGCTGGCGCCAGTAGCAATCAAGACCCAAGGGCCTTTTGTGTGGTTCAGTGTTGTCCCTTGAGCAGGTGAGCAGGTGTTGCTGTTGTCAAAAGCAGAGGAACAAGCGCTGATCTCTCCATTCTCAGGACCAGTGACATGACTCAAGGAGACAGCATGAAGCTGTGTCAGGGGAAGTTCAGGTTGGATATCAGAAAATTGTTCTTTACTCAGAGGATGGCTGGGCACTGGAACAGAGTTCAAGAAGTGTTCAGACAAAACTCTCAGGCACATGGTGTGATTCTTGGGGTGTCTTGTGTAGGGCCAGGAGTTGGACTTGATGATTCCTGATGGGTCCCTTCCAGCTCAGCTTATTCTGTGATTTTATTATCTATTTCTCTGTCCTCTGCACTCTACTCTCCTTTGACCGCAGGCAAATGGTCCAGTCTCTCTCCTGTGACAGTTCTGGTCCTTCCTGGTGACTCACTAAGCCACCTGTGACTCTGTTAAGCCACCAGAAGCTATTTGAAGAGTGCCTGACCTGGCACAGGATAAACAGTGGAAGTGTTTTCTTCCCAGCTTCCCATTTGTGTGTAACTGGGGACATACAGGCCACATGTAGTGAAACTACATGAAGTGACAAATCATTTAATAATGCCAGTGATGTGTAATCTCTTTGTTGTGCAAGCTCACCACAAATGGGAGAGAAGTGCCAAAGGGAAGGTTGACTAACGAATGTTACAGCTTTGGTTAGCAATCTTTTCAAATTTTCTGTTGTCTTTAGCTAGGCATGGGAAAATACACCACTGCTGTTTTGGGGATTTTTCGGTTTTGGTTTTGGTTTGGAGTTTTTTTTGGTAACTGATAATATTTTTATTAGAGAATCTTGTAATCTTTGCGTTTTTATAGTGTTTTAGAAGTATGGTAGGATGTGAAATTAATAATTGTCATCTTGCAAGTGTGCTTGACAGGAAGAGGGAAATTCCCAGCAGAAGCAGACAGCCAACACCATTCAGATGCATTTGCACTTCAGGCAGACTCAGGTGATTCAGTGACACGGTTTACTTAAGGACTCGTTTCTCTTTATCAGTATCTACCAGAGAAAGAAAGACTCTGTTCCAGGCAACTTACTATCAAAAGTGTCTCCACCTTCTCCTGCCATGTACACATCCATGTTATCATATCCTTTGTCTAGGGATTTAGGGTGCCACTTAATTGGAAAGTACTGTATGTACAAAGGAAATTAATGTGATCTTTGCATAATTTCTTGTGCTAAAAAAATTCAAGTGAAAAATAAGAATTGTATTATATTGCCTATGTTTCAACTCCTAAAGGACTGCTAGGAAAAAAAGAGTAAATTTCTATTTCGTAGATTCTTCACAGTATTACAGAATAAGCTGTGTTGGAAGGGACCTATAAGGATCAAGTCCAACTCCCAGCACTTTTTGAGCTCTGTCAGGCTTGGTGCTGTGACTACTTCCCTGGGGAGCCCATTCCCCATTCCCTGGGGAGCCCAGCCACCCTCTGGGTGAAGAACCTTTTTTTAAGATCCAGCCCAAACTTCCCCTGATACAACTTCAGGCCATTCCCCTGGGTCCTGTCACTGGTCACCACAGTGAAGAGACCAGTTGTACACTGTGATGAAGTCTCCTTTCAGTCTCTTCTTCTTCAGCTTTTTATATAAAATATAAGCAAAAAATCAAAATCAGTTTCTTGAGAGCTGTGCCAAGTTTCACGATATCTCTGAAGTCTAGTAAAGAGTGGCATACCACAATCCTACCATCATACAATTCCGATTGTGATGAAAATCACTTCACCATCAAAGCTATCCATTTCTGTGTCTTGTATTCAACTTATATCAATGGAAGGGCAAGCATAATCTGATTCTAGGACTAAGATTAGTAATAGCCACATAGGAGATGAAGAATGCTTCACCTTGTCTACAAAATGGAAAAGGATATTTATTGAAGCTACTTACTAAGACACTACTGTTTGCTTGACCAAGTAGTTAAAGCCAATTTACTTTAAAATGCACATTCAAAGACAATAAAATGAACTCACCTTCAAGCAGACAGGGTAAGGAGGGCTAAAATCTGAAGCTAAGACATATAATTTAAAAAAAATTATCTCAAGATCTTACTTGCACATCCTACCCAACATGATAAGAATTGTGGTTAGCTCTAGCTGTGCACTCTGTTAAGTCTGTTTCCTTTACAGGAATTTCCTCTACCTCACAGTCATCATCCCTTCCTTTCTTAGTTTAGTTGCATTATGTTGAAAATTTCTGGGTCATTTTCTTGTAAAAAAGAACAGGGGAAACACCTCCTAGTAAGAGATCAAAACCTCTTAGGTTCTAAAATCTTGCATTGTATACAAAATTGTGTTGGATTTTTTTCGTTTGCTTCATTCAAGAAGCGTAATGTTTCCTTTTTTTTTCTTTTTCCATATGCTGCTTTTAGACAGCTCACAAAAATCTCTAATACCTGAGATCTACAGGATTATTCCAATATGCAGTAATATTCACAGCAAGAATCAAGTTCTCCTTACCATTAAAGTCCCCAGCTACCTTCGACACCCACTGCAAGTGGGAGCTATAAGGGGGCACTGTTACCTCCCATCTGTGTCCTCCTAGTTCAGCCTCACCAGTAGCCAAACACAGCCTTGGCAGAGAGGGAAGAGAAGCCCTGATGAATCTGAGCCATCTGTGACTTGCCCCCCACTTCAGCACACACAGTCCCACACAGTCCAGCCCCTCTTTCAGGCTTCCTGCTTGGATGTAAAACCCAGAAAAGACCAACTGCATAGTGACCCAAACTACATAAAAGCATGTGAGAGCACTTTGCCATCAATTCATATCCCAATGACTCCTATTCCAATAGAAGATATGTAAATATTTGTCCATCAGTTTGCAACAGACTTATTTCAAGAACAGTAGGACTTGTTTTTCTTCTCTTGTGTGAAGTTCTCTGTCTTTACTGCATATTGGGTCAATCACTCTATTGCCACAAGGTTAGAAAGGCTGTTAGTCTCATAACGGGATTTCAATGTTGCCTCTGTTTATGCACACACTCCTTTATGCAATGACCAGTATTAATGCTTGATTCTGTCGGGTTCTGAGCATTTGGAGATACAGGATTT